CACACGGCGAAACTTGTGCGCTCCCTCGTCTTCGTCCTCTTCGTCGTCTATGTTCTCTCTGTATAAAGACTCTTGGAAACGTAGGGCACGCGCCGTGTCATTTGCTGTCCCGTAACCAGGCGGCATATGTTCATCGCTGTCGTCAGGAAGCGGCTCTTCGCTAGGTGGTGGGTGGCGTTTTAAATACCGCCGTGAAGGTTTGAAATACCAACGGCCATTAGCAGCCTCAAGGCAATACTCAACCTCCAGAAACTCCATAGCCTGCCAAAACGGCGTAGCCTTTTCCTTTTCGCGATAGGGCCAGAATAGAGACGGCCCGACTTGGCCTGCCATGCGGAACTCGCGGATATTGTGCTTGTCCACGAAGCGGTGAAGAGTAGAGCATAGAGGGTCTTGCTGATGTGGGTGGACGAGATCTGGCAGTTGTTGATGATGCGGTATCTCATGGTTAGCCATGTCGACGGCACAAAAGTCGAGCTTGCGCACTGCGGGCGAAAGTTGCACCTTTTGAAGAGCTTCGATGGTGGCAGTACGAAACTGACGTCGTAGGGCGTGCCAAGGACCTGGTAGGTCATAGTACCAGTAAACAGCGGCTTGACTTGGTATCTTTTCAGTCAAACTGAAAACGGTGGTGGGGTGGAGCGATCGATAGAATTCGTCGAACTCAATCGTGTTCGCCGATCTGTCACCTGACGATGACATGCACAACTCACGGACAAAGGGCAATTCCGGGAGGTTCTGTGCATCTTCGATAGAGACATAGGAATATGGGTAATGCAGCTTGGACTTGGGCTGCGGTATTCCAACTGAAAGCTGAAACCATGGACCGGGGGTGGCTTTCCAGGTGTCGAGAATGTTGAAGAGCACCCATACCGCCTTGGTCGCAAACTTATCATTGGCTTTTCTTTCTGAACGTTTTTCAAAATAGGGTTGGGCAGCTTTCGATTCCGGGAGAATGACCTTGAAATTCAGATGCCGGAGGAAGCGACGGCGGTGGGACTGATTGGCAGCGAAAATGGCCATGAAGTTGCCAAGGTCAGCATCGGTGATTATGATTTCCTCAAAGAGCAGGCGTTCCACAGCATGTCGCCATGTGCTTGAGATGGCGGCGAGGGGAGCTAGACTTGGTATGGGCTCTGAGCGGCTCATGAATATTAGCATCAGAATCGTGGGTCATGGCAATAATTGCTAGGTGATGAAATACCGACCTTTTGGAGCATTGCTGTCCCAAGTCCAACCACCTCTGCCATCTGGACCCTTATGAGCTCGCTTAGGTGGGGGCCGGGGTAGGTGAGAAGCGATTGTGCATATGAGTTCAAGAGGGAGTGAATTCATGGTTGCGTATTCCGTATCCCGTGGCTGTCTTGAATGTCCAGTGAACAGAGGAAGAAGGAAACCTAGATACCTATAATAATTTGGAAGACGCGATGCCGGAACGCGTCGGGTTGGCGTGGCAATTACCTTATGTAAGTGGATGCTTGGCACCAAGCCAACGCTGAGAGGGTGGGGTGAAAGCAAACCCTGGGGCTACTTACCTTATCTAATTGCCTGCACCATCCCCAACACCTGAAAAGAGAGTGTACACTACAAATTCTGACTGACCATCAGCGTCTAAGGCACATTCGGAATCCCGATGAAAAATGGATGCTAGCACATTAGGTAATCAACCGATGGGCTGATCCGTGAGATCGTGGGCAACATACTACGGGTAACCCACGTTTTCACAACTAACAATTTGTCAAATGTCGGATTACAGCCTGATAAAACAGCTTTCATCAGCTGATCGGTTTGGAACTTGAAGGATGAAGACGAAGGCCGATGATAACAACACTAGAGTCATAAAGCACAAGACGCACTGGCTGGCTGTCAAGGCATGTCACGCCTGCCGTTTGTAATTGTGGCTATGCTGGTCCTTTTGATATCTTGGGCACTTTCATTCACACAATGAGCAGCCAACAAGTCATGATTCTCGCGTGTGCCAAGTGAGGCTGTGCAAATAGTAAGTGCATTTCCATACCACTAGACCATTGAGTTGGTCGTGGAAAAAGCCCAAATGCAACGCTGACAAACGGTCCTAAGTGGTCAGTCGGTTACGACGGCGAAGAGGCGGGAACCAAACGTCGGATATATAAATGCACAACCTCCCATCGACACCACCATCCATGTCGCCTATGACATCCAAGTTGTTCTTACACAGCACCCCCAAACGCAAACCAAAGACACGACCCCACAACCTCAAGAGAATCAGATCAGAGGACATCATCCACCATACCATGGCTTCCTCTTCCACCCCACCTCAAGACCCAGACCAAAAGACTCTCACCGCCAAAGCCTCCAATGAATCCCTCACCGCCGCCTCAACAGCAGTCCCCGACAGTGAAACCACCGCTGGGAAGAAACAACAAGAGACACCGGCTCGGTACCTCTACTATGAGAAAGTGGGGGAACCAGACCCGAACTACGTCCCTAAGCCGCCGTCAAAATTGTCCAAGTTCATGTCCAAGTTCCAGAGCCCAATGGTGAAGGCGACCAAAGCCAAGAGACAAGCGGAGATTGACGAGGAAAGGAGAACGGGCGTCAAGGTTTATACTCCGGCTGGGGCACCGATGGGAAGCGGGCAGAACGTTGGGAATTCAGTGTTTTGATACCTACCTACACTTTGGCGGGTCGGGGGTGTGGGAATCTGACAAGCTGGGTGCGTTGTGGTTGGCTGGCGACGGTTTATGAGGAGAATGTTTCGAGATACCCTACCATGTTTGTGAAGGAGACATACATGTATGAAGTGCGAATTTATTCAGTCAGCGGTCTTTTGCTTGAGTACTCATAGCCTCGATCTAATGAGACCTTACCTTCATGTTTAGCCCTTTGTTCGGGAGGGTGCCGTGATGATAAGGGTGTCAGGGTTGGTAACTGTCTCCGTCAGCCACCCGCACGAAGCCTCAGTCTACCTAGTCTTCGAAGCCTCATGACTTTCAAAAAGACCTTTTTACACACCGAAACTGCTTCAAATGCTCTGACTGGCCCCACGATGAAGAATTTTTCAGTACTAATAACGCAGCCGTCACATGGATAACGCCTCGCATGCGCCACTCAGCGAGTCATCAAGGTAGGAGCGCTATCACACGAATATTACCTTACTGGTGAGTGCCCACAGCATGATCAACTAGCTGCAACCAATATCCTTGCACTACTTCTTTCATTGAAGCCATCACAACACCAGCCTCAGTTCTGATAATCTGCAACTCACCATGGAGTCCAGACGCTGTTGATTGTGATCACATAGGTATCAGGCGTTGGTACGAGGGCCACCAGACGCCAAAAATCTTGAAGGATCAAGTCCTCCGAACCTTCCGTAAGCCAAACCATAAACGATGATCAAGAGTTTCCAAGATCTCCAGAGTAGTGGAAACAACATTCAACAGCCAAGGCCAGCCGTGGAAGGGCGCTCCTTGCTGGAAGAAACGTGAACCTGCCCCAACACCGGCACTGGACATCGGAGAAGCGCGAGGCCGCACCCGAGCCTGAGCCCATGTGCGGCGGACCTCGGGGTCCCCCTTGCTGGAAAAAGGCACGAGATGTTACCAATACTTTTCATGTGGGGTTTGAGGAACCAAAGGCCTAACTCTGTGTGTGTAGAACTAAGTGCGAAAGGATGGGGTTGGGGTGAAGGGGAGTGAAGATGGTGCCGGTGGCTGAGGGTTATGGTTGGGTTCCATGGGTTGATGTTGTGGACAATTTTCATAGCTCTTTGGCGTGCTGTGTGATAAGTGGCCGGGCGGAATTTCTTTAGATGTTATCTATCTTTGGAGGGTTGGTTGTTTCGTGGGAGATATGGAAAATGGTTGCCAACCTCAAAACGCTCGTTACCTCTGTCTTTCTCTTCGGCGCGAGCTCTCGGTTTTCTTTTCTCGGAACCTCTCATCGAAGCCAGTGATTCCACCCCTTGCGGCGGCATCTGAATATACTACCACCAAGGTCTCACTGGTCAAAGACCATTCCACAACTAACATCCGATCAAATAGGTACCGCATGACAAACCCTTGATAAGCGCCCATCATCTGAGCTGAAACCTTGTTGTAGAAGTGGCATAAGCAAGACCACACCACCATACAATAGCCCCCAACCAATGTAGATCCCATGCTGAGGTGTCACAGCTTCTTATAGCAATTTGTAAGTCGCCAAGACAGGATGATTAAGGCCGCCGCAAGACATCGCTGGACCACAAGGGACGACCCCTTCTAAGATAAACCCAAAACGGTATCTTGGTTTTGTTTCAACATCAACGGTTGGCTTTAGATGTTTGAGAATGCGTTGGAATATCCCCTTGGCCCTGTTACGAGATGCCGTTTGTAGGTAAACCACAACCGCCTACAGCTGAACCGAAGCGTTGGAAACAAATCCTCATCGACTGTACAAAAGACGCCGACCCCGTGACAGAACAGCTCTCTCGACCGAGGGGAGGTCTCGAGCGGTGATCTATAAAGCCTCCCTCGATCCCAAGCATTATCCCTTCTTCTCCAGGCTCCGCAACTCCCACCAAGAACCTCCAGATACACTCGTACTCTCCAAAACATCCCCAAGACTCTCAAAACCCCCCATCCAAAATGCAGTTCAGAACCGCCCTCCTCACCCTCCTCGCCCTCACCACCTCCACCCTCGCCCTCCCTGCCCCCGCCCCCGAGGCCGAACTCCAGGCAGTCAAGCGCGAGCCTGAACCAGCTCCTGAGCCGGCACCCCGCTGCCTGATGATGCGCGGCTGCTACAAAAAGGTGCGAGCGACAACAACAAACCCTTTCCACGTCAAGTACACCGATCCAAAAGTCTGACACCACCAACCTCATCCGGTGTAGAACTAGAAACCGGCATCAATCTCATCCTCTCATGGGTGTGATGCAGTATTAAGCTTCAAAATTGTTGCAGAAACGAGAAAAAAAGAAAAAAAAGGAAAAGGAAAACAAGAAAAAGACAAGGAAAAGAAAAGAAAAGGAAGAAAAGAGGACTGGACATACCAGGATTCGAACCTGGGATCTTCTCATGGAGCAAATTTCAATTTGTATCATTGGAGCTTGGATCTGTTTTTGGACAGCTTCAAGCACTTTTGACACATTTTCTTTTGCACCTGAGACGTCTTGACCACTAGACCATACGCCCTGTTTTTATGTTTTGTTATTATTATGGAACGGGAAGGGGGCTTATGTACCGCTGTTGCTGTTGTTGGGGCGTGTTGTGGTTGTTGGGGGGGGGCAACGGGGAAGGGTTGGGCAGGTGTGTGCCGGCTGGCTGGCTGGCTGGCTTGGGGTGTAAACACGCTCGTCACGTCATTCGTTTAGTACTTGTTCTTTTAGCTGGTGAATGAACGGGGTGATCAAGTGACCAGAACTAGTATATTGCGTTCCATACATTGTTACCAATTGTCAGCGGTCCAGATGTTCCACTATGTACTATCCCACATCTCTTCCTAACCACAGTCCACACCACACACCACACCTGGGCAGACCGTGATACCTACCCAAGCTTAAGCCTGCTCCTCAAAGTTCTCAAAGCCCCCAGCCCTCGAGATATCAGCCACGCTCAGCCCCGCATCCGCCAATGGAGCCTGCAAGCTCGCCGCCGAGTTGGCATTCTGCACATCAGCCCCGTCCACGGCGGGATCAACCAACGGAATGATGCCCCTCAGCTCAGGAGTAGCGGGCAACGCGGCGTTGCTGCAGATGGTGGGGATGTCAACAGCGAAAGGGTTGAAGTTCTTCTCTGCGGCAACGAGTGCAGCGGCGCCGGCGATGACTTGGGGGTCGTTGCCTAGGGTGGCGACGATTTCATCGGCCAGTTCAAGCTGGGAAGCTGTTAGTAGGAGAGAAAGATGGTGTGAAAGAGAAAACGAACCTTGGCACAAGCACTGGCACCAGCGAGGAGGACGCTGGGGGTTTGACCAGCGAGAGTGCCCGCTGCGCCTGGGGGGCCAAAGGCGCCGAGGGCTTGAATGACGCTTTGGATGAGGCCTTCCTGTCCGAAGCGGGCAGAGGCAACAGAGGCCATGGTGGCGAGGAGGAGGGTCTTGGTTTGCATCGTAAAGAGTAGAAGTGAAAGCCGGCTAGCGGTGTTGAAGGTATTAAACTGATAAAAAACAGGCTTGCCGTGAAAAAGAGCGTGATCGAACCGGTCGGTCAGAAGAGAGTGGATGAGGAGGTCAGGAACAAAACATCTCCTGAGTTTGGAAGAAGACTTCTTATAGCGATGTCCATCATGGTGTCAGTGATGAGGTGATCACCGTTGGGAAGTTAGGGAGCCGGCAAAATAGTGGTTGATATTGTAGCCCCTCGGCGATCATACTGTTGTTTGCGGCAGGAATTAGCTGGCAGCGAGCTCGGGTTTGGTGGGATGTTTGAGGTTTTGCCGTGGGTGCTTGTGCGGCGGGCTCGGCGCATGGCATTTCCAGCAAAAGTCGATACAGCAATGCCGTCCACTCTCAAGATATCAGACGAAAAGATGATCCTTGACAAGGTCAATCGTCATCATCCAAACCGAGTTTCCCAGACTCGTCTCGGACACTCAAACCAAGTGGACATTGCACGGGGCTGGCTTTTCGGACGTGATAATGCTGACTCCCGTGTCGGTTGAGTGGTAGGTAGTTGGATCGATGTGTTGGACAATGCTTTTGTGCATCCCGTCGTGTCTACCCCACGTGTTTGGGTAGCCTCTTGTTCCATCCCGCTGTGGGGGAACGCTCTTGGCGGCAGACGTCACTCGATGTCAAAGCCGAGTTTGATGAACGGCAGCAGGCGTCCGAACTGTCAAGAACACACACAGTCTGGGAAAGGGCAGGCAGCCTTGGATCGGACACCTGCTTCAAATAAAGTGGATTCTGAAGCCTCCCTTGCTGTGACTCGGGATCATGTGATGCCGCCAGTTTTCTTATTGAGACTTCACGAATTCTCATTCTTGGCCACATCGCACCAACATACAGCCTTGCGAAGCCTGCAGTTGTCACCACACGCCAGCATGCGCAGTACCACCTTTTATGGATTTTTTGTATTAATGTATCGTAAGTGATGTCCTGCCGGCGACCAAGGTGCGGTGGCTCAATGACCTCGTGCCTAGCCCCAGCCCGGACGAGCTCTTTTGATCAAGTACCCGGACTTGACGCGAAAGGGCTGTTATGTACATACAAGGTCAGTTCCCATCCAAACATGCCATACCCGAAGCGCCCCCATTCCCAAACCTCACCCCACCCACCACCCAAGTTGATATTACAGTAAAGGCAGAGACATATACACCGGGCTCGTATTCTCTTCGTCTCTCGTCGTCGTCGTCGCCCGTACTTTTCCCAGCTCGGCTCGGCCATATTGTCTTCTTGTCGGCGAGCAAAGTGTAGCGAGGACGACGTCTCGTCATTAGTTGTTATTCCCCGGATTCTTCGCCTCCTCTTGAAGCAAACACTCTCCGGCTCCTGATGATGATGCTGTTCACAGAAAAAATGCTCATGAAAAATGCAGCCACCCCTTCTTTTCCTCTTCCTTTCTCTTCTCCTCTTCCTCCTTGCGCTGGGCCTCTTGGGCTTCGGCCTTCTTCGCCTCGGCCTCCTTCCTCTTCTTTTCCTCCTCCTCCTTCTTCCTCTTCTCGGCCTCCTCGCGTTCCTTCTTTCGCTTCTCCTCCTCAGCCTTGGCCTTTTCAGCGGCTTCCTTCCTTTCTTGTTCCTTTTGGGCGACAATCTTCTTCTGCTCCTCCTCGGTCATCTTGGAGAAGGCCTCGACGTTCTTGTCCCACGTCTTGACGCACTGATCGTTCCAGTTGCACTTCTCCACCTCACCGTAGGCCGGGTGGCTGTAGCGGGGATGTCTGCTGGGCCAGTTGGAGGCATGGTAGTGATGTCTGACGAGAGCGGCTCTGGCGTCGTGGTTGCCGGAATCCGAGTGGCCTTGGCCGGCGGCGAAGGCCTCGACGGTGAGGACAAGAGTGCGGCTCACAAGCTTGGATTCCTGGAGGTCATGGAAGAGATCCCAGTCGACCTTGATGTTGGGGTTCTCCTTGTGAAGATCCATCTCGGCAAGAATGGCGGCGGTGAAGGCAGAGGGGCCAGTACCACTGATGATCTGGTCGAAATCGAGCTTGACGTCGGCAAGAGGGACATTCTGTTCCTTGGCGACGCCGTTGAGCCAGGTCATGATCTGCTCAATGAGCCTCATCATGACGGGAAGCTGGGGCTTGCACATGAAGGTCCACTGGCAGAAAGAGCGCGACTTGGGACCAAGAATGGGGTGATCCTTCCAGTCGGGCTCGTCAATCTCGACACCAATCACCATGTCGATATCCTTGACGTTGTAACGATCGGGGATGAACTTGGAGAGGGGCTTCAAGGCCTCGACGTCGATGTCGGCGTACAGGCCACCCTCGGCATACATGACCATGTAGCGGAGGAGATCAGCCTTGACGATGGCAGCCTTGACGTCGCGGTAGAAGTTGACGATATCGGGACGGTTGAAGCCCTCAGGGCCAAAGTGCCACTCGACGTACTTCATGTCGTTGTCGTCGGTCAGGACCTCGTACCGGTAGTCGGGGTTCTTGCCCACCCATGAGCGGGCAGTATTGATGTCGCGCTCCTCGAACCTGAGCGGGTTGACTTTCCATGTCTGCCAAATCTTTCTGGGGAACTCGGTGCGGACGGCCTTGGGAGTTGAAGCTGGCCCTACTGGCGCAATCGCCACAGGTGGCGCAGCAGCTACTGGGACCGGTGGACGGGCGAGGGCGGCGGCGTTGGAGGTGACTTCGCGAACACGCGAGTGGAAGAGGTTGAGATTGAATGTGAAGAAGATTAGAATAATGGCAGCGACGTATATTGGGAGACAGCGGCGGAACTGCGTTGGTAGGCGATTGCGAAACTGAGCTGTGGTGGCGGCCAAGGTTGGGGACCCCAATGGGGAGCCAAGCTTGGACATCATGGTGGGCGACCCGAGATTTCTTTCTTCAAACGAAGGTACTGTAGCTACTTGAGGAATTGTAGGTTTTGCTGGTGGTACGCCGTGGGAAAATAACGAGCGCGGTCAGACCAGACGATATGGAGTCGGAAGCTGCTGGCTGACGAGTCGGTGTGGTCAGAAAATTGCAGTCAGTTGGGTGACAACGCCCAAGTCCCAGTCCCAACCAACTTGGATGTATCTCTCGAGCAAAGCGAATGTGACGAGACGAGACGAGACGAGACGAGGCGAGGCGAGCAAGAGGTGAGGTCTCGAGACGGAGGAAGAAAAAGTGGAAGAGAGAGAAGGAGTAGTGTAGGATACACCGGTAGTAGTATCACGAAGTAGGAGAGAGAGCAAGAGGGTCTAGGCCCCCTCTAATCGGCGGCCAAGTGGTTCCTTATCTTGTCAGCGCTGGCAGCAGTGGGTGTCTGCTCTGCCGGATGCAAACTCGCGCGGGAAATTCATCATGGGCGCGGCCATTTTGGTCACCTAGCGCCGACACCTTGCCGGGGTCCCCAGGCCCCGGATCCAATCATGGAGGCCCGAGAAAATTCTTCTGGCACCGTCCACGCCCACGCCCACGTCCACATCCACGTCCAGTCCAGGGGCAGGGCATCACCACCTCACTCCCGCTCCATCTAAAACACAGCTGTTCTCAGATTATATAACAGGTTTAATTCCTCTACATGGTGCCCGATCCAATCATGCCGTTGGCAGTCGAGAGCGTCCATCTGGCCATCAGCCAGTGAGAGGTGTCAGACGCGATAGGGGGCTGTTTTCTCAAAAACCGACTCCCGTCCCCTGCCCGGTTGCGGGAAAGGTGCCCCACTGTAAAGCAGGCTAAGCTCACCAAGCTGCAGCCCCTGTCGACGCGATCGGTCGTTGCCGTTTCTGGTAGGCGGGTGTGGGGTTGGTCGGTGCACCATCAGCCAGTCATCGGCTGAGCTATGGCGCACTGTGTCGACAGGCACCCCCAGATTTCGCCTGCCACGGCTTCCTACCTAGCGCACCCCTCCCCCTGGACCCTGACACCCTGGCACCCTGGGCTGTTTGGCTGGACGTTGAAATCCAAGATCTGGGTGCACCTCAGGCAGCATGCCGCTGAACCTCAGTGCTTGCGAATTGCGATGCACCGCTGGGACGCAGATACGGGCGATGAGGTGACGGAAACGAGGGCCAAGAGCAAACAGCTGCATT